ATTGAATGATTATTCAGTAGGTCACTCATGTATAGTTCTATTTATATTCTTTAGAAGCCACTTTGAAGATACCTAAGTATAGTACAACAACTATTGATAATCTCCTACCTCTTTTGTCTGTAACTCACTATCATTTGTCTATTTGTTTTCCTGAGAAACTATCTTGTAGATAACAATATGTAAAACAATAACCATTGATAATTTCCTACCACTTTGTCTGTAATTTGGTAAGCCCCCCCTATTATTATGTTATCCTTCTTTTACTCTTAAAAAAAAAAAAAGTTTGAGTAGAATTGGCATTAAATCTTCTCTAAATTTTTTGTGGAATTCAGCTGTGAATCCATCTGACCTGAGCTATTCTTTGTTGGTAAATTTTTTATTATATTTTCAATTTTGTTGGCTGATATTGAGGTATTCAGGATTTTTATACCTTTTTGATTCAGCTTTGGTAATTCATATGTATCTAGAAATCTGTCCATTCCCTCTGTGTTTTCCATCCTATGAGACTAAAGATTTTCAAAGTAGGTATTGTTGATCTTCTGAATTTCTACAGGATTTGTAGTGATTTAATCCTTCATTCCATATTGCATGAATTTGAATGTTTTTCTTTTCTTTTTTTTTGATTAAGTTGGCTAGGAGTTTATCAGTTTTATTTATTCTTTGAAAGAACCAACTCTTTAATCGTTAATTCTTTTATTGTTTTCTTAGTCTCCATTGTGTTAATTTCTGCTCTGATCTTTATAATTTCCTGCCTTCTCTGGGCTTTGGGCTTGCCTTACTCTTCTTTTCCTACAAGCTTGAGGTGCAGCATTAGGTTGTTTATTTGTGCTCATTCTGTTTTCCTGAGATGGAAATTCACCGCTATAAATTTCCCTCTGAGAACTGCTTTCATTGCATCCAACAGGTTCCAATAAGTTATATCTGTATTTTTGTTTGATTGTAAATATTGTTTCATTTTTTCTTTAATTTCATCTATGACTCATTGGTTGTTCAAGAGGGTGTTATTTAATTTCCATGTGTTTATGCAGTTTTTATGACTTCTTTTGTCATTAATTTCCAATTTCATTGCACAATGATGTAGTATGTATGGGAGAATTTCATTTCCTCCACATTTATTTAAGCATGTTCTGTGGACCACTATATGTTCTATTTTAGACAACATCCCATATGCTTCTGACAAGAATGTGTATTCTGATATTGTTGAGTGGAACACCCTAAGGTCTATTAAGCCCATTTGCTCACAAGTTTGATTTAGTTCTGTTATTTCTTTGCTGATTTTTTGTCTAGTTGATTTTTCACTTTGTGACAATGGGGTGTTAAAGTCCCCTGTTACGATTGTATTACTGCTTGTTTGATTTTTCACTTCTGTTAAAATTTGTCTTATACAGTTAGGTGCTCCTGTATTTGGTGCGTAGATGTTTATGATTATTATCTCTTCCCTTTTGTAGTTTTCACCTAACAAGTATATAGTGACCTTTGTTATCTCTTTTGATTATTCTTGGTTGAAGTTCTTATTGTCTGCAAACAGAATAACTACCGCTGCTTTTTTCTGGGTTCCTGTCACATGGAGTATCATTTTCCATCCTTTTTTTTTTTCAGTGTATGAATTTCCTTTTGAGGTGTTTCTTTTTTTTGGTACCAGGAATTGAACTCATGACCTCACACTTGCCAGGCAGGCGCTTGCACCACTGAGCTATATCCCTGTCCCCAAATGTGTTTCTTTTATAAAGCATACAGCATTGTTGGATTTTGTTTCTTGATCCACTCTGCCAGTCTGCTTCTTTTGTTTGGTGAATTGAGGCCATTTACATTTTTTTTTCTTCCTGGTACCAGGAATCGAACTCAGGACCTTGCACTTGCCAGACAGGCGCTGTGCCGCTGAGCTAAATCCCCAGCCCCTGAGGCCATTTACATTTAATGGTTAGAACTGACATCTATTGGCTTATCTTTATCATGTTATTTTCCTGCTGTTGGTTCCCTACTTTTCTCCTCTGTTTAATCCTCTGCTTGGTCATTCCTTTCTCCTGTTGTTCTTGAAATTGTGGTCATATCTCTTTGTGGAGTATCTTTCAGTACTGTTTGTATGGTTGGTTTGGTGGTCATGAATTTCTTGTTTTTCTTTGTCATGGAAATATTTCATTTCTCCATTAATCCTGAATTCTAGTTTTGCAGGGTACATCAATCTGGGCAGGAAGTTTGTTTTTTTTTTTGAGCACCTAAAATCTTCCCTCCAAGCTCTTTTTTTTTTTTTTTTTTTTAACAATCAGAACACAACAGTATTTATTAAGTCTACTATCTTATATGGGGACAGCTCATGGTTCCCCAAAACAATTATAGCAGTAACATCAAAGATCACTCATCACACGTTACCATCATAGATATATGAACAATAAAAAATGAGAGAACTCAAGCATGGTGGTGCATGCCTATAATCCTAGCACTTGGGAGGCTGGGGCAGGAGGATTTATGTGAGTTTGAGGCCAGCCTAGGCTATATAGCAAGACCACTTGGCATACAGACATTCTGTCATCGACTGTACTAGGTACAGTTTGGCTTTGATGGAAAAGTTGATAAAGGATATGATAAAGTGGACCCCAGTTGTGTATTATATTGGAAGAATAAACAGGAAGGATTTTGGGGGACTTCTCTCTCCTTTAGAGCACTGGAATCTTTCTTTTCTTTCTTTTTAGGTTTTGATCTATCCTTTTCTTTGAGTCTCTCATCTCTGAGACTAAGCATTCTTTTCATGGTTGCTTAGTTTCTTGCTTTCTTTTGTTTCCCCATGTTCACACCACACTCCTGTTTCTTCCTCTAAGCTCTTCTTGACTTTGTGGTTTATGTTGAGAAATATGCCATGATTCTGATGAACTTCCCTTTATAGGTGATTTGTTTCTTTTAACAGCTTTTAATATTCTGTTCTTTCAGTGATTTTCTGAGACCTTGATTATTATATGTCTAGGTGTAGATTTATTTTGGTTATGGCTAAGTGGAGTTCTATATGCCTCACAAATTTGTATGTCAGATTTTTCTCCCAAGCTTGGGAAATTTTCTGCTACTACTTATGCAAATATTCTATAAAAATTCTTTTTATGTCATCCGTGTTTACTCTTGCTGTTTCGTTGACACCTATCAGTCCTATATGGTTTTTCTTTTCATAATCTTGCAGCTGTTGAATTGTTATTTCTGAGTTTTTGTTATTTTTATGATGTCTTTCCTTTCGTGATCATTAGCTGCAATGCTGTCTTCAAGGTTTGAAAATCTATCTTCTGTTTCATTCAAGCAGTTTTGCCAGCTTTTAGTGGAATTTTTAATTTTCTGGATATCTCTTTGAATCTGTTTCATGCATTCTAATTCTTTCCTGTATTGTTCATTCATGGTTCCCATCATTTTTCTATGCTCCTCTATTTTTTTTAATGTATGTCTTCTTTATATGTTCTGAGCAATTCTTTCATTTTTATTGACATTTCTTTCTTTTACCTGAGAGATTATTTCTAATCTGTCTTATTCTATGGCCTGATGGAGTTGTTTCTTTGCTTCAGTTGCTGTCATTTCAGAAATTACAGGTATGTGACTTCTAAGCTTTTCTATGTTGATGTCTCCTGGACTTGTTCTGGGTGAGGTGGAGATCTGAGATTGCATTTTGCTCTTTTATTTTTTTCATTTTTGAAGATCCTGAGCTTTCCTGGTGCTCAGCATTCCTCCCATGAGGGTTGAGGTGTGGGGTGCAGTGTCCCTCCCTTCACAGGCAGCTCACTGAAGCTGCCGAGTTTCCCAGGGTCTCAGCATCTCTCCCATGACAGTAGGGGTGGGACGGAGAGCAGAGTCTCTCACCTCCCAGGCAGCTCAGAAAAGTTCTCAGGGCTTAACATTAGTTCCATGACATTGAGGCAAGGCAGTGTGTGGAGTCTTCCCCCTCGCGTGCAGCTCGCCAAAGCTCCTGAGGTTCTCAGGGACTCAGTGTCACTCCCCCAATGGTGGGGGTGAAGTGGAGTGCAGTCTCTCCCCTCCTGGGCAGCTCACGGAAGTTCTCATCATTCCTGCAATGGTAGCAGATGGTGGAATGCAGTCTCTCCCCTTCCAGGAAGCTCACCAAAGGTCCTGGGTCTTAGTGTCACTCCCATGATGGTATTGGGGGGCAGGGCACAGCTCACTGAGGCTCCCAAAGCTCCCTGGGCTCAGCGTGGCCCCTATAATGGTGGGGGTATGGGACATGGCTCCTGAAGCTCCCTGGGGCTCCTCACTGCAAAAATTTAAGTGAATAAAAATTTTTATTCCCTATCTTCATAAGTCTTTCCATATTAAAATTTTCTTCTGGATCAAATTACAGTTCTGTGTATTATTGGTATACAGTCAAGCAGTGGAAATATGTAAATTTTGATAGATTGTCTTTAAAGATAATTCCTAAAATATAGATTCATATTTTAATGTGATGGATTATGTGGCATCCTGTTCTATTATTTATAAAACTTCCATATTTGCATAGACATTTCTGTGGACTCTTCTGGTGGGTTATTTTTGGCTTTGCAAATCTTATTATTTGAAAAAGTTTGTTTACCTTGTTCCTTTTATTTATATATTTATGCCTTTTTAATTGACAAACCAAAAAATATATATTTATCATTGCCCCATGATGTTTTAGAATATATATACATTATGAAGTGATTTAATCAAGCTAATTAACAAACCCATTACCTCACATACTTATTTTTTATTAGAACCCTTAAAATCTACTTTGGCCATTTGCAGCATAGAATACATTGTCTCTAACTGGTCACCATGTTGTATAAAGGACAGATCATTGCTGGAACAAAATACTCAACACTCATAAATTAAAAGAGAACAGGTCTCTTTTGACCTACGGTTTGTACAGATTTTAGTCCATAGTCAGCGGGCTCCAAGGCAGAGTGACATAGCAGGGGTATGGCAGAGGAGAAACAGTTCATGGTGTGGCAGACAGAAAGAAATTTCCATCCTTTTGCTTTCCCTTTTGTTCCTTCCAGGCCTCAAGCCTATTGATTGCTACCATTCACACCCAGGGTGAGTCTTTGGTCTTCAGTAAACCCATTCAGTCACACTCAGAGTTGTGCTAATCCAATCAGTGGGGAGTTTCTTTCTCAGGTTGACCCAACAGTTAACTATCACAGAGTTTATTTCTCCTTCGGCTAACATTTCTCTAGCTTCCCATGTTCCTGTTGTTCTTTTAAAACATTGTTTTATGTAATCTTTCCTCTTATCTTGTTCGTATGAATTCCACCAAAGATCTTCCATTATTGAATTTATACACTGTCCTGGGAAAAATGAACAGCTCTATAAATTTAAATCTTCCTATCTGTGACCATCTCTTCGATACCTTCTTAGATGTCATTTAATGTATTTTATGTATTTTTTCTAAAAATAGATTTTATTGATCTCTTATAGGCTTAACTGATCAGTTATCTTACATCTTTGTTGCCATTATAAGTAGTGTCTTTTCAAAATTTAAGGTTCACTTTTTTTATAAAAATGCAATAGGTTTCCATGTATTCACCTCATATGTGGCAACTGTTGCTTTATTTTCCAGAAAGTCTTCAGTATTTTTTGTTCTGACACCCTTTTTGAATTGCTCATATTGTCCTAAGCTTATATTTGTTTACTTCTATTTTTGGTTTTGTAAAAAATGTCCTTTTAAATGAGTAATATAGTGAGTCAAGGACCTTAAATGCTGCATAGCCCTTAAACTGAAGCAAGAGAGTAAGGTGTTATGTATTTCAAATAATTTTTTCTTCTAGTTCAAATTTAGGAATCAAAATTGCACTTTTACCTCATTATTACATTTAGAATTCTGCTTGTATTAGTGTGTTTTCTGTTACTATAACAAAATACCCAAGGAAGGCTAACTTTGTAAAGAAAAAAAGTTATTTAGATCATAGTACTGCAGCTAATATCTACAGTTGCTTAGGGAGTGAGTGGCATTAATTCCACCCATGATGAGTACCTTAGTGCAGATTGTTTCCAAAGGGCAGAGCGCATGTGGGAGGGAGAGTACATATCTAGAATCAGGAAGCCTGAGATCAGTGATGTACCACTGGCTCCCACCTCTTAAACATCCACCACCTCAACATTGGCACTCCAGGGACTGAGTTTCCCTGAGGGTTAACTACATCCAAACCATAGCACTGCTGTTTTTAAGTAATATCCTTTGTCAACAGAAAGTTTGATTACTTTTTATTATTAATTAGATAGTTTCAGAAATACAGAATATATGATTGATTTGTTGGTCAATATAAATCTCACTTCATTAAAAAATCATTTATTAACCCCCCTTTTTAATGTTTCAAACAATTTTTATAAGCATTTCCCTTTATTGCTGAATATGTTGCCCATTGCAACCACCCAAAAACCTAGCTGTTCTGTAACTTTCAGGAGATCACCCAGTTTTCCCACTATTAAGGCACTGATTTTTTGAAAACTTGTTCTGTCACTTTTTGCAGAGCAGAACTAAAGTGCAGATGCAGTTTTCTCTCTGCTGATTCAAATGTTGGGTACCTGAATTACCCACCTAATGTCAATGCCAGAGCATTGTTTTTTCCTGCCAAATAGTTCTCAAAGCTGCCGTGCCCACAAAAGTGGCTTTCAACATGCCTGCGAAGAGGGGAGTTGTATGAGCATGCAGAGCTTTTTTAGCAGCTGCAAAGAGACACTCATGCTCTGAATTAGTAATTTACTTCCTTCTTAGCAACATGATTTTAGGGCAGATAAGAATGTATTCAGTGGGTGATACTTTGATAGCAAAAACGCCGTACTGATGGTAATTGCCAGTCATTTCCTGTTGTGGCTTCAGATCAAAATGTGCATTATCACGCTAATTTATAGAATTTTATGTGTTGTGTTCTGGTTGTCACCACATAGAAAATATTGTCAAGTAGTGGCATTTTTTTTTTTTCCATTTTTGTGGAAGTGTTTATTCTGTTTGTTTGAATCATAATGAGAGTATTTTTTTAAACCACACTTACATTTATAACTAAAACAGAAGTCTCTGAAAGCACCCCTTACGTTTTCTACATATGGGGCATTCTTATTTAATAATACTGTTTTATTTCATTCAAAATTTGGTCTCACAAATCTGTCACCTAATGGATGATGTACCCAGTTTGAGAAAAGTATAAAAATCACTGCTCATCAGTGGGTTATCAACAACAAGTAAAGAAAAAACTTAATATTTTTAGAATAGTTTTCAACTGTTTTTAAGTTAGAAACCAATGTAATGCCTCCTGTGATATGTATCGATTGCTCTGTGGTTGAGGATGCTGACAGTTTGTGCAGGTGGGGAAATTCCGCTATGGCCACCCCTCCGCCGCCTTGCTTACACTAACAGCAGAGTCAAGTGTATGATCATTTTGTTAGGGATGCCTGTCTTTCTCTCACATATTTTCCTTTTGTTGGCTGATAAAGATAGCGTGCCTTTTTCTTAATTTATTTTAAAAACTTTTTGCTGGAATATAATGTTCACACAGTAAGTACAGAAACTGTAAGTGTACAATTTGATGAATCTCTATTTTGTATATGAGGTGGAATCACCCACCACACAAAGGTCTCTTCCGTGCCAGCATCCCAGTTGGCTGCCATTTCACCCCCACCTCACGTCGAAACCACTATTTTGAGAGTTGTAGTAGCACAGGTTACTTCTGCCTGTTGTTGGACTTCATCACAAATGAAACTACAGAGTATGTAATCTTTGGTAACTAGCTTCTTTTGCTCATTATTTTATCTGGCTCATACAGTTTCCTGAGATGCTATCTTTCAAGTAGGAATTGCCAAGTCAGTATAAGTCAGTCCAACTTTGGTTTATTTGACAGCAAGCTCTTCAATTTAGAAGAATATGCCATTTAGGACCAAAATACATAGATCTTGCTGTGATTCTAATCATCACTGCTATATTAAAAAGCCCCCACAGTGCTGCTCCTGCTGCTGGCACAAGGCTATGCCCAGAAGAGGCAAGGTCAGAGCCCACTTTCAGCCGTATGCCCAATTTGGCCACAGCAGCCCACAGCGTACCGGAATGTGATATTTTGTCCGATGAAGCAAGTGTCACGAATGGGTTATCTTCCAGTCACAGCAAGAACGCTGCAAATTCCCTAACGTAGACATTTCACAATTTGGGCTCTTGTTAAAATCAGCTTGGAACATTGTAAACACCATTTTAACAAATGAGATAGAATAGAATGAAGAAATCAAGGTGAATTGCATGTGATGAGATCCGGTGATGTTTAATCTACTCTGGGTCATGGCATAGATGGTGTTTGTCACTGTGTATGGTGGTAAACACTTGGTGGCTTCTTCCCGAAAGACTCATCTGTAGAACACCAGATATATATTGAGCAACAACATGGATGTGGCATGCTGTTAGGTGCTGTGACACATGTTAATAAGATAGATAAAATTTGGTCTATATAGTGTGTGGAAAAGTCATGTACACAAATAATTATGTCACAAAATACACTGTGTGATAAGGCTGTAAGAGTAATGGAGCTTAGATTCATAACAGAGATGGTGTCTGAATTAATGTCAAAAGGTGAATTGAGTTCTGTCTGCTCAAGAGAGAGAAAAAAGGATGTGATTATAAATGAGAGGAATCTGCTTTTTCTCAAAGATAATTAGGTACATGAAGATAACAAGTTATGCCTTCAAAGGTAAATATTAAATGTAAAAGTTTATATTTTATTCAGTAGTCAGAATCCATGAATGGGATTACTGCCATGATTAAAGTGATATTTTAGAACAAGTAATCGAATATGTTAGTTATCCAGGAATGAAGCTGGTGGTAGGTGTCTTGATTATTTTTCTCTTGTTGCTGGGACAAAATACCTGATGCCCAAAATGAAAGAAGGAAAAGCTTGTTTAGCTTACTGTTTGTGGAGGTTTCAGTCCATACTTGGCTGGCTCCAAGGCAGAGTAACACATGGCAGAGGGCAGCAGTTCATGGTGGCAGAAAACAACAAAAGCAACAACAGCAAAATGGAGGAGCAGCAGAGGGAAGAGCAAGCTTCTATCCCTCCCTTACATTGTGTGCAAACTACCCACCCCAGGGCGGGTGTATCACTCACACCCATAATCCCAGCATTGGACCATGGATCAGTCATAAACTCTAGAAGTCTGCCCCATAATTGCATGAGGCTTTGGGGGAACATCCAGACACAAACCATAACATTAGGTAGTCCAGTTTAGGGCCTATGGAGAGAATCTAAATGTAGGATAGTAAAAAACTACAGTGCGGGTAAAAAGAATGGAAATGAGTGAGAGGCCTACAATATTTACTGAAAACAAAAAAACCAAGTAGAATGTGGTTCTTGTTGGTAGGAGTTGCTGACGCTTGGGATGTGAGAACCAATGGAGAAGAAGATCGGTTGTGCTTGAGAAAGAGTAAATTGAAGGTGCTGACACTTAGAAATAACTGAAGGACATGGGAAAGAAAGAACTACACACCAGGAGAGGGACTTGGGAACATTAGGGGAATGAGAGTGGACGCATGATGGTGAACTATATTGCTCAGTTGGTAGAGAAAAAGCAGGCAAGGAATGAACCTTAGGGAACCTCCTATCCCCTCTCCCCTTCAATTAAGCAATAAAAATGAAAACAAGTCACTGGGAACAGTCTGTGTGTTCAGATAATGAGATACAGGATATTATAACTTAGGGAACGCAAAAAACACTTGAGCAATATTATATGTAATGAAGAGGTTAAGAAAGTGGGTGGGGGTGTTTCCATTGTCAGCAGTTCTATTGATAAAATTGCAAGGAATCGTTTTAGAAATGTAGGGCTGGGAGGAAAAGTTTAAAGGAGTGAGCGGGGAAATGGAAGGAGAGAAAGGGACACACAGAAATGTTCAGGCGAAGAGAATGATGCAGTCACACCTAGTTCCATAAGGAAAGGGTAGAACTGAATAGTTTCCTAATGGAAAGACTTATCAATAAAATTAGAATGCAAGAAAGGTTATTGTTTCATTCTGTTTAAGATGACTTGAGGTTAGGCAGTGTGGATGATGGAATAGTAGCTATCCAGAATGGTCATAAATTAGAAATAACTAAAAGGATGATGGTGAAGCCACAGTGAAGGAGAGGCAAGGTCAGACCTGGTCAACACAGTCCAGTGACCTTCAGCATCTCTTGGAGGTCAGTAGTTGGAGACAGACTTGAGAACAAGCATCTCTCCAGTAGCAATAATTCTTTTCATTTGCTACTTGCTTAGTGGAAATGTATTTGAATAGAACTTTGTAAAATATCAATGAGCATAAAGGGGCTTTTCAAACAAGTAGTACGTATTACCAGTTCTCTGGCTATAGATTTTTGCTGGGTATTTCAAAATAGCACTATGATTATAAAACTTTAAGTCATGGTTCGTCCTGGGATAGTTCAGTCTAGTGTTTTGACTCCCCAAATGGAATCTTTCATGTGTGATTTGCTTCCATGATGTTAAACTCCAAAGTTCTTGGTCCTATCTCTAAAATCTCAACCCATAAATTTCTCTTAGTAAATTGTCATAGCTCTGTTATCCAAAATTTTGTTTAAATTTTTGAATCCTCTTATTTTACTTCTTAGAGAAAGAAACAGGCCTGTAAAAATTTTGAGTAGTTTTCTTCCTAGATTGTACTGGAAGACAGACATTAGTTATATAAACATAAGATAAATAAAATAAATAAAAGGCCACAGGATTGGAGGTGCAGGAGTTGTAGTATGGTCAAATTACTGATGAAATGTGACAGGTTATTAATTTATACCTACTTTTGGTAAATTCATGTACTCATTAGAATATTAGGACTACTGGAAGCTGTGTAGGACAGAAGTTTACTTTTTTCTATACTGCTGCCACCCAATTTTACTTTTACATAATATTAGTATACATCCTTTGGAACACACTTTGGAACTAGTGTTACATTTGAAAATGTGTTTAAAACTAATCTAAAACAGTATAGGAATAGATTCTGATGAGGATATGTATTGAATATTCTTGAGAAAATAGAGTCAGAGATAGGTGAAGGATATGAAATAATATCAATTATGTACGATGGCCATAGATATCCAAATGTCAGTGAGGCAGGGTAGGAGGAATCAGTTACATTTAGGGTGAAAAAAAACCAAACAAACTACTATTTCTGTTATTCTTGGGTTTACAATGCAAATGTGAATTTGGCATGTCTATTCCCCTGTGATTTTTACTGGATAATGAAATTCACACACTGTAGTGTCAGACTTTTAAAAATAGCCATTTATTGGCTATGGAATCTTAGACTTGTTCACTTTTCTTTCTTTCTTTCTTTTTTTTTGGTACTAGGAATCGAACTCAAGACCTTGTGCTTGCCAGGCAGGCACTTATGCCACTGAGCTGTATCCCTGGTCTTCTTTTCTTTTTGAGACAGAATCTTGCTATGTAATTCAGACTGGCCTTGGACTCACTTTATAGACTAGGCTGGCCTCAAACTCACAGCATTCTTCCTGCCTCAGCCTCCCGAGTGATGGGATTACATGCATGTGCCACCATGCCTGGCCTTTACTTTTCTCTAAAATTGCTTTAAGGCTTTATTGGATATATATACAGCCCTTAGCAATGTATTGCAACATAGTGGATTTATAATAAATGATTAATATTATCAATAATTTGATTACCTACTCCTTCTCTGTATTTGCCTCTCCTGGTTAAAAGGTCTTTCTTTAAATGAACACCTAACAATCTCTTCCTCTCCTTATTTCTTTATAGTTCTATACTTATTTTTATTTTATAGCTTCCATAGAAAATGGCTTTCATTAAGTTATGATTTTTACCTCTGATTAGATTATTTTTTTAATCTTGCAATTGACTGTCAAAGAGATCATGCTAGATGTAATAAAGATTGTAGTTTCTGCTATTTTGTTATTACTCACTGGTGAATGCATTATTAATATTATCTTCCATTCATAGTTTCTGTACAGGGATATTTTCAGTCCATGTAGCTGTTGTGTTACCTTCACTAGTTAAAACGATACAAAATTAGTAAATGTGCTTTTCTGGGATCATATAAAGCAGCTTAATTGGTAATACACAGCATTTTGTTAGCTCTTAGAATAAATGTGTTTTTGAGAATGGTTTATATTGATAACTCTCAAAGTCTATTTGACTTTATAAACAAAGTCATGAAATATGGACCTGTAGGGAGAATTACATTGTTAAAATAAGAATCATAAAGGTGACAATAGACTAACATATATCTTTTAGTCATCTGAGTTCTATTATAATTAACACCCATGCAAGGTTAAGCTCAATGAATAAAAATGCCCCAGATTATTTTACTGTTCTCTTTCATGGAATCAACTGCAAAGTAAGAAACCAAATTTTCTTATTAAAACACAGAAGCCTGAGAATAATCAGAAAGGATTCTTATGCTGTCACAATGAGCATCTGATGCATAACTTTTATCTTATATTTTAATGTTGACAGCTTCTTCCCTGTGATTCTTTAGAAGCAGATGAAGTGGAAAAACTTAAATGTGAAAGAGATGATGCCTTGGAAGAAGTGAATATACTTAAGGTAACTGTCAGTTTTGGTTCTTTATATTTCTTTAGGAAAAGAAAAAAGAAGAAAAGAATCCTCTGTTGGATTCTGAACAGGACTATTGAGGCTTAGTTTGGTAAAAAGTGAAAGAATATTTACATCAAGTACAATCATATTCTTTCTTTCATTGGCCTTTAGTTTACTCCATACACTTTTTATTTCTACTTCAGAATCTCCACTTGAGAGCTACTTCTTACAGCTGTTTTCCCCTTTCATATTGGTGGCAATAGCAGAATTCAATGAGCAGCCAACAAAGCAAGCTGTGACAGTTGGCATCTTCTCATGTTCACTGAGAAATGCATGTTTTCCCATGTGCAAGGCCACGCTTTAAGGGACAACGTGTTTTACTAATGTCATTTAAAATTAAGGCCATGTGATTTAAGAGAACACAAAACATACAGGTTCCAAGTATACTGATTACAATTTTTTTTTTTGATACTGGAAATCAAACTCAGGACCTCACACTTGCCAGGCAGGTGCTTGCGCCACTGAGCTATATCTCCAGCCCTTTCAATATACTGTAGGATGTTCATTCTCTTTATATAGCTTTATTCTGTTTTTAGTAGAATATTAAATTTAAGCTAGGTCCTAATTCATACAGAATCCATTATATTTGCCAAATCTTAAAAAAAAGCAATATAATTTTTTTTTTTTTGGTTTTTCTCTGGTACCGGGAATCAAACTCACAACCTTGCGCATGCCAGGCAGGCGCTTTGCCGCTGAGCTAAATCCCCAGCCCCAAAAGCAATATAATTACTTTAGGTACCATTAATTTACCATTGAAATATGTATTTTTAAATTATTTTGTTAAATGGGTTAATTTGCTTGTTAATTATTTTGCTTTTATTGAAATAAATTCTTTACACCAAAAAGAAAGAAAATTTTCTATAGACATTGTGAAATGAAAGGAAAATGCTCAAAAGTAAAGGGCAACTGGGGTGTGGGAAAAGAGAAGAGAAAGAAGGGGAAATTATGTAAGTATGTATATACAGGATAGCTAACATAGTTGTACTACTGTCTTCTATTGCTCTACAGAAAGGAACAGTTAATGATTACTTATTTGATCAATCTTGTATGTCTCTATTTGTTTTGCTGAGAAACCACTTTGAAGATATCAATAAGTAATACAACCATTGTTAATTTTCTACACCTTTGTCTGTAACTCTGTTTTGTTTGTATTGTTATGCTATTTTGTAAATAGATGTCTGTTTGTTAATATGTTTCCCTTTTTTTATTTCTTAAAATAAAAAAATAAAATTTTCTTGCTATATTAGATTTTATAATTCCAACCCCTAGAAGAAGCTTCCTTTAAAAATATCCTATTTATCCTTTCAGAGAACTTCTGAACCTCGCTGATTCTATTTTAAGAAATAAATGTATATATGTTGGGCCAGGGACTATACTCAATTTTGCTGTGAACATAAAACTGCTCTTAAAAAATGAAATTTTAAGCAGTGAGGGAAGAAAGAAAAGAACCTAAAGAACAAATGTGTGTGTGCGTGTATGTATGCATGTACATACACATGTATGTTTTAACGTTTACATAGATAGCCTCATACATCCATCCCTTTTACCACTTGCTGCCTTTGTTAGAATTAAACCATGGGCAGCTTTCCAGGTTAGTATATACAGATTTATATATTCTTTTGAATGAATCTCCCATACTTCAAATAGTTCTGGCCTCATTTATTTAGCCAGTTTCCTCTTGATGGATATTTAGTCTATTTCCAGTTTTTTGTTATTAAAAATAATTTGACCTTCAACAGCTTTGATGAAGTATCTTGGGGAAATTGTGAAAGTACTACAGAAAATAAATCTGACAGTGGAATTGCTGTATGAAAGGGTATAGACACTAAAGTTTTCTGTATGGTACCAGATTCCCTTTAAAAACGCTTTGCCAATTCACATTCCTTTCAAATGTAAGAGCATTCTACTATAGAAATATTATATATATATATATATAAACTTTGAAATCACTATCTTTTCACATTTTACTGTAACAAGGCTTTAGATAGAAGATATAAATTTGGTTTTAAAAATAAGTTGGCAGTCATTTCCGTTAGAAAGTTTCTCCAATGTTGGTTACTTTGGTAAAGATAGCATTTTTATAGGATTTATTATTATATGAACTATTAAATCTTGTGGTTCATGAGAATTTTCAGAGGTTCTCAGGTCTTTCATTTCCACTGATTTCATCTCTGTTAAATTTGATGATATTTTGGTTTTTATTTAATACCAATATTATTAGAATTTTAATTTAAAAATATAAAGCCATATTCATGTAACATTTAAACAGAGGTTCCCTGAGGAACCATGAAATCAGTCAGGTTCACATTTAAAGTTCATGGAATATGAGTAGATCTATCTTAAGGTGACAAAACCTGAAATGGCAGATAACACAAATTCTACACTTTTAAACTACTTCTACCTCAAAATCTATTGACTGAGAGCAATGTTTTAAAGCTATACATAATAGTGTGCCAAACAATGTATATTTTGTTTCAGGTAATATTTATATTTTCAGGTTTTCTACTTGTACAAACACACACACACACACACACGTCATTAAATGAAGGTCAAAGAGTGTAGAGATAGATTGTCATCATTTTTCATTATCCTGTGATATTACCATTCTTCATATCTGACTTGAGTTACAGGTATGAAACCAAGATAATTTTATGCCAGGGACTAATTTTAATTTTACAAAAATTATCTTTGGAAGCTCTGTGGACTATATGTCACTTAAAGCCTTTCTATACATCCGCATTGCTACTGCTCTGCAGAGGTGAATGAAAATAGATGTGTTTTTCATTTACAGATGCAAAATGTAGAGCACACAGAGTGAAGGTGACTTCCCCATCATGAGTATAAGAGCCAGCAGTCTCCTGGCTCCTGATCGGCGGCATATTCATTAGATCACTGTGTTATATTCATCTTCACAGACCTTCCTTTCGCCTCTCAGACAGGAATGAGCTGAAATATTCCAGAAAGCAGATTGCCCCTCATACACTTTGCAATATTGCTGTGAATCTTCACCGCTCAATTTAATGTTCAAAGCACTTCCTCTGCTCAAGTTTATAGTAAAATGGCTTTTAAATGACTCCTAGTATTTCTGATTTGTTCAATAAAATGTGTTCATTAAAAGATAAATTTAACAAAATTGTGCATCTTAGGGTATGTACTTCACTTAATTTTAAATTCAAAGGTGATAATATTTTACTTGAATGTGTAATATTCATCTACTTTTATTTCCTATTTTGGTCATACTGGTTCTATCTTTCATTTTATGGATAATCTTGAAACAAGAAGATAGCAAAGTGGAAAACCAGTAATCAACCCAGTCTCATATGCTGTCTTTCATATTGTTAGAGGCCTTATTTTTAACTCATAACAGCGGTGCTTTTTATTGTAGAAGCCCTTTGAAAGTGGTAAATATTCTGCAAAATCTAGTTAATATTTACACATTTTGATCCTGCCGTTTTTGAAATCTTAGATTTGGGGGATTCACAAAATTAAGGTGATAGAAAATGTGTATATCACAGTTGTAACATAGGTAACTGATTGCTTTTAAATAATACATGTAAAGCCAGAAAAGGAATTGGGACCTGCATTTTCAGAATCCAGCAATTTGATGATGGGGGAATACATAAGCTTTGAAACAAAGGACTAAAAGTCACATCTGCTTGTGTCATCCTAAGAAGTTATTAATTCAGTGGTTTTTGATTGTAGAAAAAATTACAGGAATCAGAGCAACAAAGGAGACAACTGACGGAAGAGCTCCAGAATGTGAAACAAGTAAGTGCATGGATCATGCATGTGTACATCCTCACGTGTGTCTGTGAACATGAAGTATAGCTTTGGTGTAATCATGAGGTATGATTTATAGTATTCTAGCACTTGTTCATATGTGAAAATAGTATAAAAGAGTATGGATCTCAGAAACTGTTGAAAGCCGTGCCTGTACTGAAGTCCTGCTGCTATTGCTCAAAGAAATGTTAAAATGCCAATTGGAACTTCCTGTCCATGGACCAAAATGACCAATGTCATTGCTTTTCTACTCCTTTTTTCTTCCACTTTATCTTTCCTTTCCTTTTTTACGTTTGTGTACTAGCCATACCTTACGTTATTTAAAAGATAAAACCCAGGCAAAATATAATCTCCAAGGCAGAGTATAATTTCCATTTACTTGTCAATGAGAAAAGTACAATTTTATTCTCACCTTGCATATTCTTCAGAGAATTTGGTGTAGGTTACAACAGATGAAATAGAAGCACAAAGAGCAAATAAAATATAAATAAGAGCAAAGAATTAAGAGAGCAGTGATGATTGCTTGATTTTGAATTCCCTTCTCACTTTCCTCCCAGAAAACATAAAATCGACAGAGAGAACAAATAGTACCATATAAGGTTCATACCCTGACTTTAGTATGGCCACGTGACACAGAGCACCAGCCTTCAAAGTTCTATAGAGTAAAAAATGTTTCCAATCCGACTCCTGCAGCTTGCCTGCCACAGAAGCTTAGGGTACAGAAAGCAGGGATGGTGAGGCTTAAAATACTCTGAGAAAGATTAGAGAAAAATAGAGGAGGTAGATAAAATGCAAGCAATCAGCATCAAATAGAGAAAGTATGTCAAGGCAAGCCAAAATACTGAACATCAGCTGGGACATGGTGGTTCTGACTACTGGATACAAGAAGGACTGCAAAGTGTGTGCAACCAGAGGTGGTAGCCTCAGAGAATCATTGCTTCTGGGAAAGAATCAGGTAGCTAGCGAACAGATGGTATGCCTCGGGGTAGAGGGAAAGGAGACTAGGGAAGAGGGAATGGGGCTGCGGTGGGGAACTAAGATCTTAGCGAAATGACAGAGAAATAAGACATACCAGTATATGCCACGTACCCCGTATGTTCCATAAAAGCAACTATACAAAAGAGGGTGCTCTTGAACTAAGAACTCTTTTTACAAAATTAAAAAAAAAAAAAGAAAATTATGTCATCATTGCAAAAATTAAATGATATGAATTAAAGCTTTCCTCCTGGTGAAAATGTTCCAGGACAGTAGAACCCACAAAGCTAAAGAAAATCAGAATGGAATACTCCAAATTCAGATATCCTCAATACGCATTTGAAGCTAAGAAAAAAAAAAAAATCTCAAGTCAGAAATTTGAAAAGAAAAAAAGTGGAACTCAAAAACCAGGAAAATATGCAATGAGAGTTGATAAAATTTAGCGAAGAAATAGAAAAAAATGAAGTCGTATCAGATATGAAAACGGAGTTGCCAACTGGCCAAGAAAGAATATGTTCAAGTGAAAAGACTTTGAACAGTACACCCAGGAAAGCAAAAAAATGTAATCAAGGAACACAGGTTTCTTGAAGGGCTCGGTCTTAACAACTGAACGGCACTAATATTTAGGAAAATGATCCAAGAAAAAGAGCACCTAGCCTAAGCGTCCACATACCACCCTCAAAAGAGGCCAGGCTCTTTGGAAAAAAAACCCAGAAGACTGCAACTTTGTATGCCAGAAAATAAGGAAGTCCTCAAAATGACAGGAGGATACCACTGGCTTTACCAGCCAAATACGGAAGAACTTAGGCGTCAAAATAATTAAACACCACAGTGATAAATTATAAACCATTGGAAAACAGTAACTCATGAGCCCTTAGCGTTTGTAAACAGATTAGCTAATTAACGGGGAAAAAGTGCTTTTGCTTATAGGAGACTGTTAAGTGCTTACTGCTAACGACAGAGAGGCTGCTAGATTCGGAAATTAGCATTTTGTGTCTGCTTTAGTAAAGACTGAATTGGGCAGAAATTTAGATGTTAAATTGACGGGAAAATTTTAATGACGAGCAAGATATCCACATATTTACATGATTGTAAAGTCCTTTGACAAACCACTTATTAATTACAAGGAGGAAAACAATAATTATGCACTTAGGAAAATCAGAAAACACTTAGGTGTTATAAATTGATATCGCGCTGTAAAAATGATCCCTGACAGTATAGCCTTTATAAATTGATATCACTAATGAAGATCAGATGGTCACTGTGACTCCAAATGTGAAACCTTGCAAAGGACACAACCTCACCTGTGTGGCATTCTGGCTGAGAATGTACAATTTGAATGTGCTTGTGACAAAACAAACCCTAAATGAGAGAGGTTTATTTTCAGTGTGCGTTTGTGTGCGTATGTGTGTGTGTGGTGTGGTGTGTGGTTGTATTCTGAGAAATGCCACTGCCATTAAGAAAAAAAAGTGGCAGGGCTGGGGATTTAGCTCAGCGGCAAAGCGCCTGCCTCGCAAGCGCAAGGTCGTGAGTTCAGTTCCCGGTACCGGAGAAAAAACAACAACAAAAAAAAAAGTGGTGATAAAATTTTCCACACTAAAAGAGATGTAAAAACTAAATTCAACACCTGACTGGATCCTGTACTGAAATGGAATCAGTGCTACAGAGGACATGACTGGGCGAATTGACAAAACTGGAATGCAGATGGCAGATTAGATGAAAGTATTGACTCAGTTTGAAACTTCTAGCTGAATTGTGGTTATAAAAGAGAATATCCTTAGTCTTAGAAAATACTGCTTTTAAAGATGACGGGCCATGATAAGTGTAGCTTTACCCTCAAATGGTTAAGAAAAAAAATGTGTAATGTGTGTTCATGTGTGTGCCTATGAGATATACATATATATATATATGCATGTATGTATATATACACATAATATGATTATAGACATGAGATTGAAAACATACAAATTTTCACCAGCAACCACCTCAACATACCAGTGTTTTACACACATTTTTTGTTTCTCATTTCTAAATATGTTGGCAAAACTGAATCTGGTGCGTCAAGATGAAAGGTATGAGGATGTTCTTTATACTTTATTATTCTTGCAACTCTCATTTGAAATCATTCTCAAGTAGAACATTTTTAAAGTCATCTATTTTGTTAAAATTATTCCCAAATAAAATGTTTTTCAGGTTCCGGGAATATAGCTCAGCGGCACAGTGCCTACCTAGCAAGCGTGATGTCGTGAGTTCGATTCCCGGTACCAAAAACCATAACCAAAACCAAAACAAACAGGTTTCTACAAAGTGTTTTTCTTTAAGTCTTATCATTTTCAGGCAATCTTCAAGCCCTTGTTTTGTTACTTATTTGTGTACATTCATTGATACGCCTTTTTAGTTCTTTTAATTGTCTATTCCCAGTGCCTAGATCAATTTGTGTGGGCAGGACCTTTCCCATTTATGTGTTTATGTCCCGCAGGGAGACATTTATACATCTTCCTTATTAATTTTGTAGGTATAAAATAAATAGGGGATGGTTTTTTCCTACACTAAATTAAAGTTTTCTCCTGAATGGAATATAGAAGTTTTCAAATTGATGCTTGATAAAATAATGACATTAAGGACTGAGGTATGACATGGATCAAAGGAAAAATAGCAGCTGTGCTTTCTTTTTCTGGCAGTACCTGCTTTTTCCACATGAGGCCCTCCTGTATTTGCTTCTCTGAAAGGGTTAGTTTCTTATTAAGAAAGGTCAGGTCTGCATCAATAAACAGTCTGTATCAGAATTTAATAAGATTCATGGGAAATGATGAGATAGAAATAAAAATATATGAACAGTAGAAAATCTTATATAATGAACAAGGAATTGACACCTGCTATCAAAAATGAAATAGATAAAGGGCTTTGGAAGGCTGTGTAGATTTATATCCTGACCCTGCATCTTGCTAGCTTTTAGTCTTTGGTAAACTATTTCATCTGTCTAAGGCTCAGTTTCCTCATCTGTAAAGTGAGCTTCCCAAGAATATTAGAAAGTGTGGTGAGATTACCTACATTGTATATGATGTGTATCACACATAGTAAAAACTCAAATGTTAGCTAATAGATTATTATAAATAAGGGAAGAAAAAAATATTAAAAGGTAGAAATAATTTAGGTTAGCCATTCAATGTACAGGAGGAAATTATTCTGGCTGGGGAATAAAGGGGACTTTCATATAAACTGGACCTTGAAAGGGAATATTTGGATTGATATTATCATTAATGTCATCAATATGATCATTATCAAAGGGCCAGTAACCTGAGCAAAACAGAGATGAAGATATCACAAAACAATATGTGCATGGGTATGTGGAGGTTAAAGCCTATAGAATGACAATCTAGGATTTTAGACAGTGAACTTCTGTTGAAGATATTTGATAAAAGGAGAAAAATGAACTTGCTGCACCTATAATATGGCCCTACTCCTTCTTTCAGACTCCCTATCCATCCTGTGGGCACTACAGAATTAGGAGCCGACAGAGTTTTAAAAAATTATATTTTCACCATTCCATCAGTGGACTAAGTTACTTTCATTACCTGCCCGTGTCATAGCTTCGTACCAGACCACCACCCTGCTTCAGACCTGGAATCTGAGCATGGCAGGCAGAAAGACTCTGTTAGAACTGAAATTAGAAACTCTCCAGGGCTTCCCATCTTATTCAGAGTCAAAGCCAAAAATGCTGCAGGGAGGTGTTTCACGTAAGTATTAGATATCATGAGGGCCTGTGTGCTCTGCCATCCCCGCCCCTCCCATCCTCACACTCCTCTTGGCCCAGTGGCCTGGTCTCTTAGATTTTTCTCCCCTGGTTCACCATTCTCTCGGGTTTCCCTATACCGCTGTATTAATTAGGGTTTATTAGAGAAACAGATATAACACAAGATACATGAATGTATAAGAAACTGTAAGTTTGGCTTATAATGGTTAGTCACAGAGTTGGATGGGGAAGCGTGTAGAGGGTGTTTGTATATTGGAGA